CAGTTCCGTCTTGCCCGTGTTTTGAAGAGCTGCACTAGTCCTGGTATTTAATAGTCTATTCTTGTCATCATATCTTCTTCGAACCTTCTGTGTCTCTTGCTTTTTCCTCTGTATCTCACAGCATTTTTACCTGTTCTGTTCTTGTAATGCTGTGTCATACCCTAGAAGATCGCAAAGCTCTGCAGCCTTCTCGGTGAATTCAGCTAACGTCCCTTCATAGGGAGTAGGGTGCCACAACATAAAGAAGTGAAAGACAACTGAAACTGTATATTGGGGCACTGTGCATTTGTGAGGGAAAACAAAACAAAACAAAAAAAGGCTCTTCTTTCACCAAAATGTAGCAATGCTGTTTACAACAGGAGGAGAGTAGAGTTCCTGTAGTGCCAAATGCCTAAATAAAAGTGTAGCGGTGCAGTCCTGGGCCTCACTAAGCTGAGGCAGAGCTGTGCTTTCAGAACACAGTTGTGAGTTCTCCAAACTGGGAGAAAAACTGATCTGCTGGTTAAAAATAGGACTGAAAGATGACTGATAACAATTTCCTTCATGGTTCTTCTTGGGGAACTTTTTCTATGTTTAAAACAAGAAAGGACTGGTTATACACAATAGTTGTAATAATACTATTAAAAATAATCAGGAGCTGTATTTACAATAGTCTCCACCAAGAAAACTGTATAATTAGGAATACAAAATTCTACTTTTTACCAGTGCAAATAAAAGCTTCTATGTGGTGTTAACTACACTACTTGGTGGGTCTTTGAAATAAGAATATTCTCTTGCCTCAAAAGGATACTGAAACCTAATATAAATTATGAACTTGATCAAAGTGGTAGATTATTTTTATCCCATTTATATAAAAGAATGTTTTCTGCAAAAACCCTAAAAGAATGGGTTGTTTTTTGTTTTGACATTTTCATCCGGTGGGGATTTGCATCAAAACAAGCCTTCTGATCCAGCAAATAAAAATACAGATTTCTTTATCCCTCTGCTTACTTTTCCTAGTGAAAAGACAATGAAAATAGACAAAAAGGGAAGAAATGAACGTGCTGAAATAAGTATATCTGGGGGGCAGGGGAGTCAGATGCAGGTAGAGCATGGAGGGGGAAACAAAGGGTGGGGTTTAATCACCACATAATTTTACCATGTAGGAAACTGGGGAGTATGTGCTGCACCAGGCACTGCTGGTGTGCGTTCCCTCAGTTTTCAAACCCACTCCTCCTTCCTGAACAAATCCATGTCTTGCAGCTGAAAACAAGACATATAATTTGTGATCTTAACACTTTTAAAATGCTTTGTTTTTTTGAAAAGCATTTCTTGCCAGAACGACATGAGCACACCTCAGTGGATTTCAGCTCCCATTAGATAAAGCCTGGACATGCATTTTGATTTCGAAACAAATCAAGCTTTTTATAATACAGCTACGGAATGCAGTTTGTTTAATTCTGACAATTTTCAAATTCAGCCAGTGCTGCTGTAGCACTTGCAGGAAGCAGTATCAGGTGGTTCAGGTGCCACCAGCTGACTAACAGGGTGGTAACATCAGGAAAAAACCCCACATTACTAGACATTGCACAAATAATGCGTTAAAAGACACACAGTTGAGGCAGTGTGTAGCCTGAGCACCCTAAGACACAAGTCCAGCTCACGCAAACTTACTGTTCTTAATTAAGTCTGTCTCAAGTAGTTAAGTGACAGGCATCTAGGCTTCCATTGCCATGCATGTAGTGAGTGTTAGATACCCACCTGGCCTCTGCCGCACTCGCTCCTGCTGCTGGTTGGTTTAAATATCACTTGAGTACATCTACAAGAGCTTTAAGCGCACCTCTGCTCAAAACAGACAGAAGCAGAGTAAGCCCTGATGAAATGGTCTTACCCACTTTGTAAGCGAGTACAAAAAGCTTGCCCTATCGTGATATTTTGAATAAAACTGAGGATTATTATCAAGATCACTTACTTAGATAGAGGGATGGATTTTTTTAGACAGTTACAGCCCCAAATTGCCTGCCTGCCAGCTTTAGATGAGCATTCTCTGGAGGGTGACTATGACCCGTCTCTGTGCCCATGCCATGGATAGAAACAACAAAAAGCTGCCAAGTGGGGTCAGCATGCAGGTTGACAAATCCGATCTGCGGCTTCCAGCAATAGCCGGTATTTCAAAAGAAGTCCAAGAGACAGATAATACAATAGGTCAGTTTGTCCACTGGTACACTCCAGAATAAAAAATCACTCCTGAAGCCTGTAGAGTCACGAATGCATCATACCTAATGCACGTGACTCAACTTAGCTACTAGTTTATAAGTTAAGTTTTAAAAAATTCTGCTTCCTCACCTGCGCTGTGGAGATTAGATTAGCATCTACAGGTGAAACGGGAATTTAAACTTTTCAACAGACAACTTTTTTGCAACAGGCTCCTGTTAGAGTAAATGGCACAGAATTTATAAAATTGTCTTTACAAAAATTGTAGCACGTAGACGTTTTTTAGTGTTACAGCTTATTTGGAGTAGTAAATAAACTCTGACCTTCTAAAAGGTGTTCTTGCCCTCCTACTAAGTAACTTTCAGCTCTGCAAATCTCTCCTGAACTTCACTTCTTTGTGGCAAGCTCCCTCAGTCGTCTTCCATCTTCTTCCACTTGAAGCCTGTGAATTCTGCGTGTTTTGCACTGTATATTGTATAGGGATTACCCTATATTTTGTATTGTCAAATACCGACAGCACTTTCAGCTCTACAATAAATACTGCACATCAGTTTAAAATGACAGAGAGTTTTTATGCAGCATTTTATTGTTTCCAAGTTTCTCAAATTTCAAATACGATTTTCACTTGTTTGCTCCCATTTTTATGCTTTCATTTACAACTCACACTTAAGAAGACTTCAGAACAGCTTGAAGGACCTACTACCAATTTAATCACATTGCTGTCCTTAGTCAAAAAAGAAACTTTTTTCTTTATTCTGCATTTAACAGCGTTATATCCACTCCATCCTCTCAGAGGGGGCGGGTTAATGCTTCAGCAGAAAAGCGTTATTCTCTGGGTTTGCATTAGGCTGGGAGTTCATGCAAAACAATTGAGCAAAAGAGCACAATTAAAGCTTTGTCACTCCTAAACATGCAGTCAAAAAAGCAGCTTTTCTCAGGGCTGCTAATACTGGATCAAAGAACAACTGAGCCAGGGGCAGTGGCTGAGCAACTTTCCTTTGCTTCTCCAGGCTCTTGGAGAGTAAGGGCTGCTAAGCTCACTCTACAGGAGTATTTTACTGATCTTTGTTTGCTGGAAAGCTCCATGGAAGATTTTGGAAGTTTTAAAATGATGTTATAATGCTGCTGTAGAAGAGGTTGACATAGTTACGGGGGCCTGCCCACCACCTCTTCCAGGGGCTAGCCAGCAATTCTGAAACATATTCAAAGCATTAGGATAGGCTTTTCAGAAAATGTTTCTTAGCCCAATTAAAAAAATTATCTGCCGCATCCAAGAACACTTGTCAATACCGAATGAAAAAGGAGCACGGTTCTATGCTGAAAAACGCTAATGAGACTGAGCATTCATCTCAGTAATTAACATGGCATTTAACACTTTGTTTTGAGCCAATTTGAGGCCTGTCTGCTGGTGTCAGAAGCAAGCTGGATTCCCCATCTTGCTCATCAGCAGAAGTTTGGAAGCTCAATTACATCCCCAGTTTTTACCTTTCCAGTCTCACTGTCGTTAGTGGGACCCTTCCCAAATGTAAGATGGAAAAGTTGACCTTTGTGCTTCTCTGTATACCTTTCACAACATACCTTCATTTATCAAACTGTCTTTATCTCCACCCATCAGTTTTCTCACTCTTGCTCTGGCGACCGCTGAGCCATGCTTGCACAGCATCACGGCCGCCTCCTTTTTCCTGCTCTGCCCCTCCAGCAGGCAAAAAGCTGGGAGGGGGCACAAGCTGCACAGCGGGCACAAACTGACTGGCAGGGATACCCCATGTCGTATCACATCATGCACAGCAATAGAAGCTGAGGAGAGGGGTTTTTTGGCTGGGGGGTGGAGCCAGCCATTGCTACTGGCCTGCTCCTGGGAGGTCATAAGCAATTTTTGCATTGCATGCCTCAGGCTTTTTCTTCCTCTTTCCTTCATTTATCAAACTGTCTTTATCTCCACCCATCAGTTTTCTCACTCTTGCTCCTCCTGTTCTCTCCCCCATCCCACTGGGGTCAGGGGTGAAGACGAGTAAAGGGGCATCTAGGGTCAACCCCCCCAGTTAATTGCACCTCAAGGTCATTCCAAGATCAGCATTTATTCTGTTTGTGTATTAATCCTTTTTGACAACAGTTCCTGTCAGTACTTTAAATATTACATGTCACAGTCAAGTACAGTTACATAAATTAATTACAAATCATAACACATACACAGCATTAACTCTTGAAAGATCTTAATGCTCAGATATTTCACAAGGCTAGGAACCAGCTCAAACCTCACCTATTGCACAGAAGCAGTCAAAGTTCAGTGGCTTTAATTCACACTCTTCCTACCCAACATTACAAATTAAAACCCTAAAGGGCTGCAAATGACACGTGAGTGCCCACTAACGAGAACAGCAAGATGTCAGGAACAAGGTCTTACAGAAAAGAGAGGTGTAAACTCTTCTGGGTAGAAAATGCTGTTCTTCAGAAGGGTGTGAACTTTCTCAAGTATTACGTATAGTTTACTGTAAGAATATTATAATACATTTTACCACTAAGGCAACAGGTGCTGGATCAGTGGGAAACACGGAGGAGATTACCTTCAGGGAAGCTTGCAGGTGCAACAGACCATCACCACCTCCGCTGCACCGAAATGCGTCGGCCAAGGACGCTCGGTCAGTCACCCGCCAGGAAGCACACCCTGGGAATGAAGAAAATCCACTCCGTGTTTTCTGGAGTTTCAACTTTCCAAACAGTCTGCCTTAATATGGTATTGAAAAACAGAGCATTAGCATTACCGATCAGAGTCGT